TTTTTCTATAGATTCTGAAATTCAACTTAATAAATAGGGGTAAACAAAATATCATGTTGTTGTGTTTCAAAAATGGCATTTATAGCGAAGGGGTTGTCATCTGTGCATGCAATGGTAACAATGCATGCTAAAAACTCAAAGGCTCATGGGTAGACACTTGTTTGGAAACAACGACACGCTATGGTCGTCTGCCACATGCACATGTGACAGCTCCCTGCTTCAATCATTGTCACATGTCATCAACTTTTCATATTTCTCACCCAATACCAAAAACTGTTTGAAAAATAGCAAAGAATAGACATTTTTGGAGCAATTTTCACAAGTGTTTCAACATTTATTTCATTAAAAATAAATAGTATTCGTCAGAATGTCCTGAAAAGTACAATGAGCAATCTTATAACTATGTTCAAAGTTGGTAAATTATGCGAAGTGTTTTATTAAATTTTTTTGAGAAAATTTTGAGAGTTTACATAACAATATATGTTGCCATTGGGAACACCCGGATGGCCCCCAACATGAAATTGTGCGCTTTATTGGTAGCGTTTAGCAATGTGTAGCTTGCCAGAAAGTTGTTTTTACAGCTTTGCTGCCTTGCTGGCTGGCTGATTTTCTCCAGTTATTTCTCGTTGTTATCATAGCTTACTTGAGTATTTCACAGCTATTCTCATTTTGGGACTAGCACAAAAGATACAGAAACTGAACACAAAAAGGATGCTAGGAAGACATTAGCTATGTGTCGATGTACTTTAAAGCAGTCATGTGGGTCCTCATGCAACACATACAATGTTGACATATGAACATGAGCTACACACTGACACAGTTTATGGTTATGATAAGTATAGAGCTTTTTAGCTCCGCTGTAGACTTTGTCGAGCGGAGCTCATCATATGAGTGATTGTCCGTCGTCGTCCGTGTCATTGTTTTACTTTTTCGACTTCTTCCTGAAAACTACAAGCCTGAATGCTTTGATACTTGGTGTATATGTACCTTGGGTAGACCTCTTTTAGGTTTGTTCATTTCATGTTGATATCTTCAATTCTCTAATTTTGGTGAATATTTTTGTCATTTTTGGTAAAAAGTGATATTTTCGACTTCTTGTTAAAAGCCGCAAGTCCAATTGCTTTGATACTACATATATAGGTACTACATGTGGACCTCTCTCAGATTTGTTTATTTCGTGATGATATCTTCAATTCTCTAATTTTTGTGAATATTTTTGTAATTTTTGGTAAAAAGTGATATTTTCGACTTCTT